CTTCCCACCTCTCCCTTCCCACTACTGTCCTTGTGCTCAGACACTGGACATAGGCCTTTACTCTTCGAAGCTGAGCTTCTAGCTTAGCCTGCAGCTCTGCTCCTGGCTTTGTGGTCACTCTGGGGAACCTGAACTCCTTCTTGCATGGACGAATCAGCTCTTTGTAGCTGATCTTATCATCCTTGTGATATTTTCATCTCCTATTCTTACAGTTCTCCTTAGGCTTTATCATCTCAAGACAAAGTATCCATTCCTAGTATTTTCTTTCCAGGAAGCATTCCCTATTTTTCTAAACTTTTAAATAAGATATGAGCATGATTTAATTCAACCTCATAGAGACTTTTAATTACTGGGTCCAATCTTTTCTCTGGCCATTGGCCCTCTTCAAATTTAATTTCTTTGCAGTCTGACCCAGATTGCATTATCTACCACTATAAACACTGCCTAGAAAACAAAGTCCTGTTTGCCACCTCTGGAGGAAAATCTAGGCTTAGTAACATGACCTCCATCTTGGACCTTGTGGTGGTTTGAATGAGAATGGCCCCCACAGGCTCATATGCTTGAATACTTGGCTCCTGGTTACCTGGTTAGTGGAACAGTTTTGGAAGGATTAGGAGGTGTGACCTTGCTGGAGTGGGTGTGGCCATGTTGGAGGAAGTGAGTCACTGGGGGGTGGGCTTTGAGGTTCGAAAAGATGCCAGCTATTCTCAGTGCTTTTTCTCTCTGCCTTGTGCTTGTGGGTCAAGATGTAGGCCCTCAGCTACTGCTCCAACCTCATGCCTGCCTGCCTGCGAGATGCCATGCTCCCTGCCATGATGGACATGAACTTCTATTCCTCTGAAATGGCAAGCCTCATATAAACCCTTCTATAAGTTGCCTTGGTTGTGGTGTTTTCTCACAGCTATAGAAAAGTACCTAATACAAGTGTGTGTCCTGAACTTGGCTGCTCTCCACTGAAACAATGTAACTGATCATACCTCTGAGCACTAGGATTTCAGGAGTTCTGGGACTGAACTTGGCTCTTTGTGCTTCTGTGGCAAGTGCTCTACCAACTGCACTATCTTTCCAACCCTGGTGATTCTTTTGTAATCCAAATCTCAACATGCTTAATAAAGGCTGTTGAAATGAGAAAAACCACACATGAAGAATGAACAGTTAGCTTGCGTGCCTGTCATCCAGCATTGGATTCAACAAGGAGCCAGTATCTATGTCAGCCCCACTAAGTCATGTGCCAGATGGACAGCATGCTTATTTTAACTCTGTCTACTCTATTACTGCTACTTCATTGTATTGGTGGCTTTAGCAACAGCTACAACCAGAAAACATGAATCCTACTATGAGAAAGGTTTCATTTTGTTTCCTGCTGTCAGCAGCCTGGAGCACACTGGAGAGCTGGAGAATGCTCCTAGTTCCCAGGAGCCACCACCCTCCTGGGGAAAACAGACTAGCTTCTTATCCAGAGCCTCATCCTAACATGTGTTATGGGCTCTTGTGTTTCATCAGAATGTCATTTTCAGCGATTAATATCAGTGTTTATATCAGTCACTGAAGAAGTCCAGAATTGTGGTCTCTTCTCAGTGACCATGAACTTTCCACAAGGAAGACCTCATACCTTCCTTTCACCACTTGTCTTAGTTAGGTTTCTATTGCTGTGAAGAGACACCATGACCACAGCAACTCTTATAAAGGAAAACTTCTAATTGAGGTGGCTGGCTTATAGTTTGGAGGTTCAGTCCGTTATCATCATGGTGGGGAGTATGGTGGCGTGCAGGCAGACCTCCCAACAGTACCACTATCTATGAGATTATGGGGGCCAATTACATCCAAACTCCCACACTTCCACATCTTTCAGCTTCCCCAACCTCTGAGACTCTTGCTCCATGCCTTGAGACTCACGGGAGGACTCCAGTCCCTTCTCCATGACGGCAGCTGACTTCCTCATATTTCTCTCTATTTCCCCTTATTGACACTGGATGACAAGGGCCTAACGATACCGTTTCTCTTCTTCTCCGTCTAACCCAAGCCACCAGGCTACACACTCCACTCTGTCACGCTTCTCACCATTAGCTTCTGGCTTCTCCCTTTCTCCCTCCCCACCCCCTCACCCAGTTCTTCAGTGGTTAGTTCTCACCATTACTCTCTGAATTCTCTCCAAAGGAGCTTAGTGTCTACATATAACACATCTCATCCAATGACATAACTCCACTCATTCTGTCCTCCTCCTAGCTCAGTCACCCAGCATCCCTGGATTTTCTGACTTTGTCATCTCTCATCAGGCTCCTCCTTCCACACCCTGTATCCTGTATTCATTCTTTAGCCAAAAACTATTTTTGTAGTCATGCCTCACCCCAAAGCCCAATGTGGTGTGTCATCAACAGCTCCTTGATGTCTCTCTTGCCTCCCTTTCTCCACCTTTCTGCTCCTCTAGATAAATTCTCAGAGGAAGTTATTAGCATTCCTTCCCTGGATTCACACTCCTCTGTTCCCTGATCACCCTGCAAGGAATCTGCACTCTCTCTCCTTCCTTCTCCTACTTTTGTTTTGTATTTCTCTAGGACATACCACACATAATATATGCTGAACATGCTTATGTATATTCAACAGAGCTTGTTTTTCTAAAGTGCTGCTGATGGTGGTTTCTTTTTTTTGTTACACGTCTGTCCCTATAACCTAGAATGGTTCATAGCTCACAGTAGGTGCTCAGTATCATCTTCTTTCCCATCTTCCTTTTAATGAAAGTAGAGAAGGAATGAAGCTTGGTTTTCTAGGACATAGACATCAATATTATGGTGATGTACTTGTTGCCATAACTAATCAGGGTAATATTAATTTTGATTATTGCTTGATTAAATTCTAGGAGAATGCAAAGTGGCCCAACTTGCATGCAAATCTAAGAAGATTATTACAGTTGGCTTCTTTCCCTATTAATTACACAGCGAGTCTGAAACAAATATGGAAACAATTTGCAAATATTGGTGTGAGTTAGAGAGAAGGCTCCACTATCTGAACAGAAGCACTGGGGTAACAATTATTAGTTCTTTCAAGAAGTCTCAAGTTCTCAATGAAAATGGCTATGAGGATATCATAGAGATATATGTATGGAAGAGCCAGGTAACAACTAGTGCCTGTAATGCAGGATTGATCTAGCTTGCACTTGAATTAACATCTATATCTGCAATTCTAGAAGCTTACAATATAAGGAATCAAGGAGAGGCATACTATAATATCATGGTGATAACAGGCAATTGGATTTTGACATACACATATACTGTGATAGCTGATCTCACTGTCAACTTGACAAGATCTAGAAACACTTTGGGCATGCCTGTGAGGGATTATCCTTGTGACATACATTGAGTTGGGGAGACACACCCAGTATGGGTGGCACCATTCCCTAGGCTGGTATCCTGGTCTGTGTGAGTGCAGAAGAGCTAGCTGAACATCAGGAAGCACTCATCCGCCCTCTGCCCCCTGACTGTGGATGCTATGTGAGCGGCTGCTTAAAGCTTTTGCCTCCTTGTCTCACCTCCCTCCACCCTTGAACTGAGTGGTAGAATAAGACCTTTGTCTCTTAAGTTGATTTCTTCGAGGTATTTTATCATAGCAACAAGAAAAGAAACTTAGTACCAAACAAAGACACAACCCCAGAACCCGTTGGCAAAATTGAGTGAGTCACTGCAGTTCCATTGGCCTGTTGTGTGGACAGGACTGGCAAAGAGTAAAAATCAACATTAGAGTATCAGGTCAGCCAACATGTTTCCAGTTACTTAGTGTAAGCATTGCAAGGACAATTTAACACCAAGATTAACATACTGATACAGACTCTGTAATTGCATAGAAGGATTAGGAGAGGTACAGTTGTCTTTGATTTCCATAGGGATTGGCTTTGGTAGTACCACTGGATACAGAACTTTGGGGGTACTCCAGTCACTTTCTTATATAGAATAGTGTAGTAGTATTTTCATATAATGTATACACATCTCCTAGTAGGCTTGAAATCATTCTCAGACTTCTAATAACATCCAATATAATGCAATTACTGTATTCATATTTTACTATAACTACAAAATTTGTACTAATTTTATTGTAATGCTTTTTGTGTTGATTAGGTGTGTATGTATATGATTTTTTTGGGGGGGTGGGGCATGCACATGCCACAGGGCATATGTGGAGGTCAAAGGACAACCTCAACTCGAAAGTCAGTTTTCACATCCCACCTTGTTTGGGACAGGGTCCCTTTGTTGCACATGGCTACAGTGCTTTGGGGTGGGGTAGGGTTCCCTGGTCCTTCTGCTGTAGGGACACAGGGATTAGCTAGTGTGTCTGGTTTTACATAGGTCTTGGAGACTCCAACTCAGGTCACACTTGCAAGGCAAGTGTCTTTATCTGAGCTATCTCCTTAGTCTCAAGTTGAATCTTTCCCAAATATTTTCAATCTGTTGTTGACTGAATCTACTGATGTGAACCCAGCGATAAAGAAAGCTATTGTGGTTTCAATTGGTGAAAAGTATAATAATAAGTGTGTGTGTGTGTGTGTGTGTGTGTGTGTGTGTGTGTGTGTGTGTGATCCTTTGGATGTTACATATTCCCCTGCAGGTAGAGAATGGCTGCTATGAAGCATAAGTAACACACTAGGTACAAAGGAAGCAGCATACCCACTCACAGTCGTATCAGGAATGTCTGTGCCTATTGATCCCTTAGGCATACTTCATCTCTGCATTTGTTTGTTTGTTCGTCTGCCACTCTGCAGTACCTGCTTACTCCAGTCTTGAGATGAAATGCTCTGGCAGGGAGCAGATGTACCAATTAATATCCTGTCAGGTCTGATGGATAGAAGAGGGGGAAGTGTCCTCACGTGTATCTCCGGTGTGGCTTTCTTCCCTGTTTCAGGGTGCCTCGGGTCACAAGACACATGCTGCCTCCCCAGGGAGGGTCCAAACGGTCTCATTAGCGTCTATCTTTCATGACACTGTGATGCGGCCTTTGAAAGGCTGACTCACCTGCTTTTCTCCAAGAATCCTGAAGTGATGGAGCTCTTTAATCAAGGAGTTGGGACAGCCAGCTGTGAGAGAAGAGAATTAATCACAAAAGTGTCACTGTCACTCTGTGCAGCAGTTCCTTTCTTATATACTGTTATAACTGCCAACAGCTGATGCTGATGTTGACGAAGACACAAATATGTGGCTGAAGACACACATCTCCCCGAGCACTAAGGAGCCAGACCTTCAGAGCAGTGTTGGCCATTCCGTGGACTCAGACTGTAACCCTTTAGGAAAGGCCTGTCTGTATGTGACTCCAGCCAGACTTGTCCCCTGGAACAAAGATTATGACCTGGTCTTAGGATATCATGGTCTTCTGGCACTTATAAATGTGTCCTGATACAGAGCTAGGAGTCTGTGGGGCTGGAAGGGGAGAGTCAGTGACTATAGGTTCTCACATGTCGACCAGGGTTCTACTCATTAAGGCTTGGGAATGGAGGCAGAAGGCTGGGCATTCTGTCTTCATAGGATTTGTCGGAGTTTAAGAGACTGCTTTTAATTCAGGCACAGAGACAGACAGATCTCTGTGAGTTCGAGGCCAGCCTGGCCTACAGAGGCCAGCCTGGCCTACAGGACAGGCTCCAAAGCTACAGAGAAACCCTGTCTTGAAAAACAAAACCAAACATCAACAAAAAACAAACAAAAGGAGAGAGAGATTGCCATTACTTTCTAGTTCTCCTAATCAATCCTTAACTCTTCAGCTTTCCCATTGTCTTCCTTTAGTCATAAAATGAAAATAAATACACTATATACTCACACTTACATTTATAGATGCACACATTTGTAAATGTTTAGTATCAGCTAAAACATGTTCCATCTCTACCTCCTCAATAGAACTATTCCACAGTGTTAGGCTGTAGTTATTCATAATATTTACTTCAGAAACAAAATTGATATTAAAAACCTGTTCCTCTGAGATAAGTCCCTGTATTGCATAAATTCACTGACATTTCCATTAAGGAAATTGGATCATATGCAGAACACATCAGAGAAGCCCTGAGCCAATTCTCCTTCACTGAGTACCAGGAGTTAAGAAAGGTGGAAGGGACTGAGAGGGCTTTCTGGGTGAGGGCAGGTTAAGAAAGGATAAGACGTGCCTTCACATAGGTGGAGTTGTCCTTTGCATGAGTGTTAGAAGTTAGAACTGAGTTACAGTGCTCACATAGGGCTGAATATTGAAATGGGATTTTAAAGTGAATTTGGTGTAATGATAACTGTGTCAACTTGACTGGCCAATGTGATACCTGGAGAGGAGGCAGGAGAGAATGTTTCTACCATTTTAGTTGGTGGATTTGACATGGAAGATCTGCCCTCATCTATGTCAGTGAGTATCACACACTCCATACAGGCCAGTGAGCATAAGTAGCATGCAGGGGAAGGATGCAGGAGGGAAGGATGCAGGGAAAGATTCTGGGGAAGGATGCAGGGAAGGATGCAGGGAAAGATTCTGGGGAAGGATGCAGGGAAGGATGCAGGGAAAGATTCTGGGGAAGGATGCAGGGAAGGATGCAGGGAAAGATGCAGGGAAGGATGCTGGGGAAAGATGCTGGGCAAGGATTCAGGGAAGGATGCAGGAAAGGATGCAGGGAAGGATGAAGCCTTCTGGATAGGTACAAGAACATTTTCTTGCCCTCAGACCACAGAGCCTCTGGTTAGTCCTCTGACCTGGGGCTTGGATGAGGCCCTGCCCCTACTCCTTTCACCTTTTGTTCCCAAGGTGAATTGCACCACACCCTCCTGGTTTCTGGCTTCAGAGGGCAGATTGAGATTTCTCGGCTCCCATACCCATGTACACCAATTCCAAAACACCCCTTCCCATATGTTTTTGTGATGGCCAGTCTGTGTCATCAACTTGACTGAATCTTAAATTAGCTAAGACAAAAGCCACTGGGAAATTCTGTGAGGGACTTTTTCCACCAGGTTGTTTGGAGCAGGAAGGCTGGCCCTAAATGTGAAGGGCGCCTTCTAGTCACAGCTCAGATAAAAGGACATGGTCACAGGGAGCTTCTGCTCTTTGCCTGCTTGCCCTCACTCTCACTGGCATGCTCATTTATCCTGTGGCTGCTGTGTTCCTCCACCGTTACTAGAATTCAAGTTTCCAGTGCAGACTAAAGATCACTGGCTCTTCCACTCCACACTGGAAATACTGAGACACCAGCATTACGGACTGAGCAAATCCTAGGTTCTCAGCCTCTCCAGTGTGAGACATCATTGTTAGAAAACCCAGACCATATCCTGTAAGCCATGGCCATTTAATAAATCCAGTGTATGTGTGTGTGTATGTGCATGCATGTATGTGCATGTGTGTTGTGTATGTGCGTGTTTATGTGTGTATGTGTGTGTATGCGTGTGCATATGTATGTGTGTATGTGTGTATATATGTGTGTCTATTCATTATGTCAGTTCTGTCCCTTTTGGGAACCCTGACTAACATGGTGTCCTCACAATATATCCTAATCGTTCCGTTTTTCTGAGACCCTTGAGTGACATACTTGGGTCAGTTGCCATTCAGAAATTCTGTGGCTATGGTAAAGACTGGAACACATTTAGTCCTATATATCATACAGCACCTCATAATGATAAGGTGGTTTAGAAATAATGGTACAGGTGGGTTTTGGTGTTAATAAATGAAAGCCCTGATACATATATTTTGGTGTCAAACATAAAAAAATTAGTTGCCACAGTCATGTCTAATATCATGGAGAAGGGGGTTTGGCTTCTTGAAGTGACAGCTGAGTAGGCCTCTAATTGGAGGCCATGAAGCCTCACCAGGGAGGAAGGCTCTGCCTGAGAGAGGCTTGCTGCTCATTTCCGGTTTGCTGTTCTGATGAGTATCTAAAGAATTCGTAAAGGTGGGTTTGTCATTTGATTGGCAGTGGAGAAGGGCTATGGAAATTCAGTCATATGCCAGTCTTCCTACATTAGCCCTCTTCAGGAGCAAGGAGTGATGGTTTTGTTCTCTGAAATGATGATGTGAAGTGTAGAGATGGACAGGACGCAGGAGTTGCATTGTTGTTCAGGGTCTCTGCTGAAGGAATGAGAAATGCCCAAGACGGTGGCTCTTACCCTTAATGCTTTGACCCTTTAATACAGTTCCTCATGTTGTGGTGACCCCAAACCATACAATTATTGTTGTTGCTACTTCATAAGTATAATTTGCTACTGTTATGAATTGTAATGTAAATATCTGTGGTTTTCGATGGCCTTAGGCGACCTCTGTGAAAGGGTCATTCAACCCCCTGCAAATGAGGTCACAACCCATAGGTTAAGAACCACTGGCCAAGAGGAAAAGGGCTGATAAACTGGGGATGGCATATGGTCCAGGGTGGCAGGCAGAGATGGAGGACCAGTTACCCAGGACCCATTTAGGGTCAGTGAAACAGCAGTGTCCACCGCATTAAATTAATAGCTTGTTTGCTCTGGTCTTACATATTCATATTTACTTTACAAGTTTGCATTTGGGCCTTTTAGTTACACAAGCATAAGATATTTATACCTTGGTTTATATCTAGGTATATTTAAAAAACACATTATCATAAAAATGATCTGTTCAATCTAAAAGTTTTGGAGTCCCTTTTCTCCTTTACCAGTGGCTGTTGACATCACTCAAAATTGAGAAGAAAAATGGTCTCAACTTATTTTTATGCCAGAGAAAACAAGAAACAGAATTTGAAATTAGCTCGTCTTTAGAATTTATATTCTGGTACTCTCTTAAGACGTGAATAAAGGATTGATGTCAATGATAGCTCAAAGATAAACATCCTGATCAGAAGACGACACGATTACCTTCAGCACCTGCAAGGTACCACAAACTAACAAACAAGGATGGGTACAGCATATATTAAGAAGCATCTAGAGTCAAGGTATTTGAGACATGCATGGAGTGATAACCATCAGCTGTGCTCAATGTGGGGCCATAAATATGGGAAGTGACAGACACGGATGTAGTAAAAGATGGCGCTTAAAACCCACAAAACTGGAAATGCACTGCAGGTGCATGGGATGTGTCAGTGTAGGGTATGTGAAATGTGTTGGATACAATCGTGTCAAGTTCTAACTAAAATAGAACAAGGAGAGGAAGTTTTGAAGGAGAAGATGCATGCCCCACAGCAAGAAATGCTCACAAAGAATCCACCAGACCTGTAATCTTACACAAAGTCACCATGAGCCTGCAAAGAACGCTTCAGAGAGGCTGTGTGCTCAGCAGCTGTCTGTCCAACCTGGGACTGTGTGGCCCTTATTAGTGATCTTCTGAGCAAGGATAAGTATCTGCTATGAGTCTCTCCATTGTGCCTTCAAGTCTTTTCCTCACCCCCATCTCTTCTAATATGCTCATTAGTGATGGTGTGTGTGCTCCCACCGCAACCCTCTGCTGTTCCCAAATAAACTCATTAAATGTCGGGGCATTTTTTCCTGCATGTTATTTCAGGTTAATGGGAGACAGGAAAATGGAGAGAGTGGAAAAGGGCAGCGGATGTGGGGTGGGTCTTCAACACAGCACTGTTTGTCATTCTCCCAATGGTCCCTTCGCAGCTCCATAGATGCTCCTCCCCCTTTCTTCCCTCTCTTCTGCTGAGTTTGTTCAACTGTATATTTAAATATCCCTCCTTAGAAATTCAGCAAAAGTATGCCCTTGAGGACAGCGACTGCCCCATTTCTCTTGTCCTTTCCTTTCATCCAACTTTCTGGAAAGAATGGCTTATAGATACTGTCACCATTGTACATGGCAAGCAGAGGTACACATCACAACAAGGAAATGCCAGGATTGGGACTTCACACCTTCTGACCAAAGTTTTGGCCTGGTTGGAGTTCTGGTTCTGTACCAACTGCCTTTTTTTGTATATGTGTGAATGTACGGATGAATAAATACACTGCTGGAAGCATCAGTTTCTTTATCATAATGTCTGCTTTGAATGCATATAAAAGAAAGCAAGATGCTTTGTAAACATCAGATAAAAAAAAACAAGCAAGCACAATTATTGCTAATGCCATTAGCGCTGTTTCACATCTAATGCTACTGATC